GCCAAGCAGCTGCTGCAGCAGCAGCAGCTGTAGCTGCTGCAGCAGCGGCTGCATGCAGCTGCTGTAGCAGCTGCAGCAGCGGCTGTAGCAGCTGCAGCAGCGGCTATAGGGACTGCAGCAACAGCAGCTGCAGCAGCTGGGGCAGCTGCAGCAGCAGCTGCAGCAGCATTTGAACTTTGCTGAATGCCGTTGGCTTTTTGTAAGTGTAGAGGGATTAGTCAGATTCTCCTTGAAGTTTGCTGCTGCCGCTGCCAGCAGCAGCAGCAGCAGCAGCAGCAGCAGCAGCATGGGTAGTCGTTGTTAAAGTCCTCAGCAGCACTTGCAGCAGGCACACCAAATGCAGCAGCAGCAGCAGCAGCAGCAGTACAAATAGCAAGTGCAGCGGAGGCGGCAGCAGCAGGCATACCGCATGCAGCAGTAGCAGCAGCAGCAGCAGCAAGCTGCAGCAGCACCCAAAAAAGTGGCAGCAGCAGCAACTGAAAAGGAATTTATCGTTTGGTGTTTAGCTGGACAAATGCAGCAGCAAAGCTCTGTGGCACTGCAGCAGCTGCAGCAGGTGGTGCTGCTGCTGCCAGCGAGGCCGCAGCACAGGTGATGCTGCTGCAGTTAGTGCTGCAGCTGCTACTCCTGCAGCCACAAGGGGCACAGCAGCAGCAGCAGCAGCAGCAGCAGCAGCACCGCCTCTCCAACAAACTTGCTGCTGCTGCAGCTGCTGCTTCATGCCGCGCAGCACCGGCCGCTGCTGCTACGTCCCATGAATCCTCCTGCTGCTGCTACTGCTGCTGCTGCTGCTGCTGCTACTGCTGCTGCTGCTGCTGCTGCTGCAGTCAGTCCACGTTGTCCAGGGGCCCGGACTTGGGCTTGTCCAGGCCCAAACTGACCACTGGTCTTAGCTGCAGCTCGTGTTCGGGCTGCAGCAAATCTGGCTGCTGCCCCTGCTGCAGCAGCAAGGCCTCCTGCAGCAGCAAATGGGACTGCAGGAAGTTATATTTGTCCCAAACATGCCCCAGGGAGAAGTTGGTGTATCTGCCTTCAAACACGACCTTCGTCTTGCTGCTGCTGCTGCTGCTGCTGCTGCTGTCGCTGCTGCTGCTGCTGCTGCTGCTGGCTTCAGCTGGACACACTGTGGGAACCAAAGTGGCTTTGCCCTGCGGCAGCGTAGCACTCTTGTAGCCTTCTGCTGCTGCTGCTGCCAGGGCTTTGTGCCACCGCAGCATGCGCGCGCTCTCCTTGACTGCTGCTGCTGCTTCTTTTGCTGCAGCAGCAGCTTTCTGTGCTGCAGCAACGCCAACGGCGCCAGCCGCGGAGGATGCCATACTCAAGGAGCCAGCAGCAGCAGCAGCAGCAGCAGCAGCAGCACACAGGCTTCGCGTAGGTCCCGAAGCAGCTCAGTCTTGGGAGATAAAGAGGAATATAAAGCATAGATGGGATTCAGGGCAGTTTTTGGTGAGCCGGCGGCGTTAAACAAGCTGCTGCTGCAGCAGCAGCAGCCGCAGCAGCTGCTGCTGCTGCTGCATGCAGCCCCGCTGCTCGTTCGAAGTGTGGGCAAAGGAATGCAGCAACAAAATAGAAAGTTAAGAATAAATAAAAGAAAATTATTATTTCATTTGCTGCTCTCAGCCATCGCAGAGTGCTCTCAGCAACGCGACTCTATGCTTGCCCGTGTCATGTCTGCTGCTGCTGCTGCTGCTGCCATTGTTGCTGCTGCTGCTACCGTTGCTGCTGCTGCTGCGCTGAGTACAGCCGCCCACATCTCAAATGTTATGTGTCTTTGTGTGTTAGCTGGGGCTAGCAAAAGTGTGTAGCTGTCTTAGCTGCAGCAGCAATGGCTGCTGCCACTGCAGCAGCAGCAGCAACAGCTGTTGCTGCTGGCCTGTGCAGTAGCAGCAGCAACTGCTGCTGCTGAGGTACAGCAGCAGCTGCCGCACTTGCTGGTGACCAGTAGGTCCGGCTACTGCTGCAGCAACTGCCAGCCACAGCCCTCCATGACGGCTGCGCTGCAGCAGCAGCAGCAGCAGCAGCAGCAGCAGAAAGGGCAGTGCTGCTTTGCTGCCTAGGGGCCCTCACTATTGCTGCTGCTGCTGCAGCGGGGCCCCCAGCACCCCGCTGCTTTGAGGGGCCCCTGCTGCTGCGCTTTATTATTATTTTCCAAAGACAAAATAATAAAATTAAAATTAAATAAACAAAACTAAATAATGAAATTAATAAAACAAAAAAGGTCTGCTGCGCGAGGGCCAGAGCTGCCTATACACCTCAGCTGCGGCTGCTCCGCCCCCAAAGCCTAACCAGCAGCAAAACTAAGCAGCAAACACTGGCCCACCCCCAGCAGCAGCTGCTGCAGCTGCTGCAGCTGCTGCAGCTGCTGCAGCTGCTGCAGCTGCTGCAGCGACTGCAGCTGCTGCGGCTGCTGCAGCGACTGCAGAAGCTGCTTGCAGAAGGCCACGGTCGCTCTGCAGCAGCCGAACTAGCTAGCTAGCTAGCTAGCTAGCTAGCTGTGCGG